CCTCCGGGGCAGGCGGGGATCGAACTCATGCGAAAGTGGCTTTAGATTCTTAGTGCTGTGCTTTAACCCACTGCGCCACCAGGGAGGGCCCAATTTATTAATTAATTTATAGTAAGATTTACTTGTGTACAATTCTATGGAGTAATAAAAAAGTTTTAATTAATACTTAACATTGCAGTTCAGTGATGTCCTTCAGGGTTTTTAACTTGGCTCAGAGTTTACTGCAAGTACACATTCTTGCTGATTTTTCACAATTATATATTTGTGATATATGGGGATGATTGCCTCTGCTATTACCAGTAGGGAGTAAAAACTGAGAATATAAGATTTTTTTATATAATTTTTTTAAATAAATATAAAGTTTTAGTTTTATAGAAAAGCACAGAATTTTTGATCACCCTACATTTAGTGTACCCTACAGTTAATATCTTACATTACCATAGTACAGTTTGTCACAACTAAGAAACTAGCAATGCTCTATTATTATTAAATAAGTGAAACACTTAAATTTTATTAGTTTCCCCCTAATACATTTTTTCTGTCCCAGGATGCCATATTTAGTCTTCTTGTCTCCTTAGCCTCCTCTGGCCTGTGAGATTTTCAGACTCTCCTTGTTTTTATGATGTTGGCAGGTTTGGGAATACTACTCAAGATTTGTAAAAATGTTCCTTAATTGGTTTTGTTTCATGGTTGTTTTGAAGTTATGGGTTTTTGGGTGGAAGACCACGGAGATGTGATGTGTCCTTCCTATCACATTACTCAAAGACTATCAGTACATTTCATCCCTGATGATATAAGCCTTGATCTCCTTGTCAAGGTAGATTTTACCACATTTCTCCACTGTAATGATGTTTCCTATTCCTTCCCCCTGCTCTTTTCTACTATACTTCTTGGAAGCAAATAAACTAAGTAAATGGGCATTAATTACTTGTCCTCAAAGGTGAGTACACAAATGGTTTGGAATTCTTCTATATAGAATATTTGTGTTCTAAACTTATATCAGTATGGACTCAGGGATAATTAGTTTACATAATCTGCTACTGAAATTGTGGAGTTATTTTAGGTTGATTCCTGTGTTCCTTTGACATATGCCACTCTTTTCTTTTTTAGTTTCTTTAATTTCTGGTACTATAAGATGCTCTTAGGCCCATCTTGTATACTTCATAAACTAGCTCTAGTAGCCATTTTTCCAAGGAGTCTGGAAAATTAGCTTTTTTTAAATTAGCATTTCCTCTTCATGAAAAGTAGAAACCAAGATCTGATAATGGATGTACTCATAGCTATCAGAGTTTCATTGTCTCTATCCCCTCTCAGTGGACAAAGCTTGGAATTATATGTACTTCCACTAACCCTGTATACATAGCTAGCTATAATTTTATCTTTGTCCATATACATTATATATATTATCATATATATGTACTTTCACTAACCCTGTATACATAGATACCGATAATTTTATCTTTGTCCATATACATAATATATATTATCATTACATAATAATGCCACTGACTGTAATCCAATATCTCATGATTCATTCTCATTTTTTTGTACTCTCTCTAATAAGAAATCTACCTTCCACCATATGCCTTAGGTTTATTTGTTTGTTCACCACCAGTATATAGGTAAAGGAATTTCAGAATTGTTAACCCATACACTGTGAGAAATTCTAGCTGATTTGTAAAATTTGTATATAGTAAGGTTCACTCTTTGTGCTTTTATGGATTTTGACAAGTGCAGAATGTTATGTATCCATCACAACAGTATACCACCAAAAGACCCTTTGTACACAATTTTTTAAAGAGTCTCAAGAGCATCAGTTTTCAGACTAAAATTTCAGCTTGGTCACATTAGCTGTGAAAAGAAGTCACAGCTAATCTATGACAAAAGAGACAAGAGTATATATTGGACCAGGGAGAATCTCTTCAACACATGGTAGTGGGGAAAAGTGGATAACCACATGCAAAAGTATGAAACTAAATCACTGTCCCATGCCCAAAACAAAAATTAATTCAAAATGGATTAAAGATGTGTACATGAAACTATAAAATATACTGAAGAAAAAATAGAATACTCCATGACACTGGCTTCAGAAATGTCTCTAGGGAGTCATTTCCAATGACAAGAAAAGCAAAAGCAAGTGTAAACAAATGGGACTACATCAAACTAAAAAGTTTCTGCACAGTGGAAGAAGCTGTTAGTAAAACAAGTCACTAGTGAATGGAAGTATTTGTACATAACACATCTGACAAGGTGTTAATATCAAAAATGTTCAACATCACTTATAATCAGAGAAATGTAAATCAAATCCACAATTAAATGTCACCTCAAGCCAATCAGAATATCCCACATTAAAAAAATAACAACAGGCCCTCCCTGATGGCGCAGCGGGTTAAAGCACTGCACTGAAAAGCTAAAGCCACTTCCACATGAGTTCGATTGCCGCCTGCCCCGGAGGTGACCACATGGTGTGGCAGACCTCTCCTGGCCCACCCACTGCTCCCCTCAGCAGTGTACTTCGTCGATCTGCCTGTTCTGCTCCACACTCTGTCTCTGGTGAAGCCTCTCGCCACCCCTGAGCCTCTGGCCTGTACCCCAGTTCTGTATGTACAAATAAATAAATCTTTAAAAAAATAAATAAATAAATAAATAATAACAACAACAAACGTTGGCAAGGATGTGGAGAAAAAGGAACACTTTATATTGCTGGTAGGAATGCACACTGACCCAGCCACCATGGAAAGCTGTGCAAAGGACTCTAAAATTACTAAAAATAAATCTATCACATGATCCAGCAATTCTATTCCTAGAAATCTATCCAAAGAATTCCAAAAACATTAATTAAAAAGGAAACCTGCACTCCTATGACATTGCAGCCCTCTTTACAATAGCTAAGATATGGAAACAACCTAACTGCCCCAAAATAGATGACTGGATCAAGAAAATACACAGCAATACTGCTGGAATACTACTCAGCAATTGAAAAAGTCATTTGCTCATTCTCAGCAAAATGGATGGAGCTGGAAGGGATTATGTTCAGTGAAGTAAGTCAGGAAAAAGAAAACTATCGGTTGATATCACTTACAGAAGGAATATAGGAAAACTGAACATAAGGCAAATAAAAATAAAAGACAAAACTTGTAGGCAACGATAGGTCTGAGGATTAAAGCAGGGTGAGGAAAAGGGATCAAAACAGGGTTGGGCGGCCCTCCCTGGTGGCACAGCAGGTTGAAGCGCAGCACTGGGAAGCTGGCCAGGGAGCTTCATTGAGAGTTCTATCTGGGTGATCCACAAATCACAGCAGACCTCTGCTGTCTCACCTGCTGCTCCCCTCATCAGTGCACTATGTCAGTCTGCCTGCTCTGCTCCCCACTCTACTTCTGATGAATCCCCTCACCACTCCTGAGCCTCTGGCCTATACCCCAGTTCTGTATATATAAATAAATAAATCTTTAAAAAAACAAAACAGGGGCCCTCCCTGGTGGCGCAGCGGGTTAAAGCACTGCACTGAGAATCTAAAGCCGCTTCCGCATGAGTTCAATTCCCGCCTGCCCCGGAGGTGACCACATGGTGTGGCAGACCTCTCCTGGCCCGCCCGCTGCTCCCCTCAGCAGTGCACTTCGTCGATCTGCCTGTTCTGTTCCCCACTCTGTCTCTGGTGAAGCCTCTCACCACCCCTGAGCCTCTGGCCTGTACCCCAGTTCTGTATGCACAAATAAATAAATCTTTAAAAAAAAAAAAAAAAAAAAGATTGGGAAAAGCACAAAGGGACCATCATGATGGTTCATAGGCAATGTAATGGTGGGAGATTTCTGGGAACTACACCTGAGGGGAGAAATCAAATACTGTACAAATATTAACAACAATGTAAAAAAATGTTTTTAATTAATAAAAGAACAAAAGGAAGAAATTCAATCTTTTTTTTTGTTCTGGATTAGTATGCTTTCAACTCCAAAAAAGTGAAAATCAATACTAAAAATGGTGAAGGACTTGAGGCAAAAATAAAAATGTGGCAAAGAAAAATCTTTATTGATGTCTCCAAATAATATCTTTCTACCATCATATATGATATGGGCCTATTACTGAAAATGAATCTCATTTTGGAGCTAAATAAATATGGAAGGCAAAGTTACTTCAGTTACAAGTTGTGATAAAGGCCAATAATGTATATGCATTTATAGGCATGTAGATCTTTCCTTACATGTGATATAATAAGCTAAACATATATCTGAGACCTATATAGAATCTCCACACTTCATACAGGCAAGACCTTCTGACACAGAAAAATAAAATCTATCCTGTCTATTTTCAGGAAGATTTCACTGCCATGATGATGGTTACAGGTAGTTGCCCAGAGATGTTTCAAAGTCTATTGATATTAAAAAAAATTGAAAAATGAAAATCCACCACAAAAGTATATTATTAACTTTATGCTCAGATTCAAAAGATGAGTAATGACACTTTGAGTAACGACACTGTCTTTTATTTTGTCTTAGATGGAAAGACAGCTAACGATGCAGAATGAAATGAGAGAAAGACAAATGGCCATGCAGATTGCTTGGTCCCGGGAATTTCTCAAATACTTTGGAAGCTTTTATGGCATTGCAGTCATCTCTTTAACAACTGGGTATGTTTCTTTCAAATTTCCTAAATAACTTTTTTGTTTGTAAACAGATTATTATTAAGGTGTTCAAGATAGGACTTTTGTCCAATTAATGCACATAAACAAAGGAAACACAAATAGCTTAGTCCTTAAGAGTAGAACCAGATTAGTAACAGAAAATTCTGCTTTTAATTTATTAGATTTCTCTTGACCTTTTCTCCATTTTATAAGTTAGAAAGAGGATTGACTTGACACCTAGATGGAAGGAATCCTTTACAAATTTATCTCCATAATCTCTAGATGATAAATATGAATACTTAACTGTTTTTTAAATGAGTAATCTGAGACTCAGTGACAAAGATGAACAAATCAATAAATCAGAGACCCTGCCCTTACAAACTGCAGAATTTCATGAATAGCTATGGATAAGGAAATCCTATTTCCATAAAAGATTCAAATGAATTAAATAACTTCTGAAGTGGAGAACTTTCTTCCAGCAACAAGGTCTGCTTTTAAAACTGAGTATATAGATATGTATTTGAAGGTTACTCCTTAATATTCATACATTTTTACTCTTGAAATAGAGCAATAAAAAAGAAGAAGCCAGTCTTCCTCTTCCCCATTGTTCCATTAAGCTTCATCCTCACTTACCAGTATGACTTGGGCTATGGAACACTTCTACAAAGAATGAAAGGTAAGTCTTTGATTAAGCCACAGTCTCTATTTCTTGATTTATTTTCTGGTTCAAAGAGCCCCTCTTTATGTCCTCTTAATTTATGAAAGTCTCCCCAAACTCCCAATGACCAACATTTCTGTCTCCTCTCAAAAAGCTGTATGCTGGAGTCAGCTCATACCAGTTTACAAAAACCAACAGTCAAATTTTCAGGAATTTTGTGAACTTAATGTTAAATACAATCATTGTTAAAAATTAAATTATATAAGCTTATGATTAAATTATATTAAAAACAATGGTAATCACACTAAGTTATGTGTACTCTTAAAGTTATGAATACTGATTGATCTGTTTGGTGGAAAAGCAGATACAACTCTGACAGCTACAGCAATGACATTCCACTGGCAGCTTGATCTTGGTTTACACCATGGAAATCTATAATGCCAAATAAAGACTTAACTTACTGTTTTGTTGACTGTCGTAGGTTTTGGAAAATTTTTGTCTACAGGCTAGCCATCTCTTTTTTGAAGGTAAAATTTTACTGGAACACAGACTTGCCTGTTCATTTATTAATTATCGATGGCTGCTTTCCAAGACTAAGAGCCCAGTCATTGCAACAGGTTCATAAGGCCCCACAAGTCTAAAATATTTACTGCCTGGCAATATAGTGAACTCATGGTCTAGACTTAAGAAAGTGATGAAGAAAAAGTTAATAATGCAGACTATGCTTAAAAATCATATTGTATCCATAGCCATTACATTGTGAATAGCATAAAAGTTTAAAGAAATATTTTCCCAGTATTTAGAAATTGTTACATGATTTTAGTTGTTGCTGCTACTGTTAATTTTTTTGTTGATGTATTATAGTTTTACATCCTTGTTAGTGTTTGGACAGTATAGGGTTTACCCCCTGAGGTATAATCACCATAGCTCTCCCACCACCAAATCACCCCACTCCTTCACTATGGTAAAGGACTATGGCCACAATGCTTTCTCCCCCTTTACACGCTCTTCTTATCTAATTTAGCAGAGTTGCTTACATCATTCTCAACTAGTAAATTTCCAACATGTCATCGTTTCCCTTTTGTCCTACTCATTGAATGTAAATGAAAGCACTAACCAGTGCTCAGGTGGGAATTATATTCTCTCACAAACTGCAACCATAGATTTACTGTGAACATAAAAGTTCTGCAAAAGCCATGAAAATATTTTATGATAGTCAAATTGCTATATATAATTTATGATAAAGTGTATTGCACATTTTATTATTTATTAATTGGATGCTTTATATATTTCTTATAAGTAGGATTTATAATAAACTTATAAATATAGTAAACATATATGTACATATACACACATATATACATATATATTTTCCCTCACACCTCATGGAGAGCTAGTTCTTAAATATTTACCAGCATTACATACTGCTGTCACAAAATCTTGACTCTTATTGCTCTAGAAAATAGCACTGTTGCTACAGAAGCCATTCCTGATCCAGGAAAATAACATGTAACATAGGACATCTATGTCTTCCAAATTCCCATCAAACCTTTGGGAGCTACATTCTTCTTAGGGTCCTTGTGTGCCCACTTCTTGAGTGTTTTACTCAGAATATATTGGAAACTTCCTTCCTAAACCTTTATTTTGCCATCTTTTTTTCTCCTGGGCTATTGGCCTACCAAACCTTCCCTGAAGCTTTGTGGAGACTGCTTCTGTATGGGAAAAGAGGGACAGACTCCTCTGCAGGTATTAGAAGTAAGGAAAATTGTAATTCTAAAAATTCCCATTTGAAAATGGAAATATATTTTCTACACAGAAACTCTGTTATAATGTCCTTTGGGGTTGGCACTATTGGGATCATAGTTTAGTTCTTGTTAGTGATTAATTTTTTAATAGCATTATTACTATGAGAAAATATATTTTATCATTTATAGTAAAATGCCATTTTAAGTTGGAAACTGTACACAACTTACTTACTAATATTAAAATTAATTTCAATAACTTGCTTAGTTTCACTTTACTTATCTGCTTAAGAAGTCATTAGTCTGTGTCATCTATAATATCATTACTTATATGGATTAAAATTCTCAGTACCACATAAAAATTAATGAATAGTGAATCAACACACAACAGTCAGAGGCCTCCATATACACAAACAACCAATCAGAAGAAGCAGAAATAAAAAAAAAACATTTTCAATTAAAACAAAAAGAATCAAATGCCTGGTAGTCAAGCTAACAAAAGAGGGAAAAGACCTATACAAAGAAAATTTTAAAACACTGTTAAAAGAAGTATAAGAATACACCATGAAATGGAAAGACATCCTCTGCTCATGGATCCGAAGAATTAACATCATCAAAATGGCCATCATACCAAAATATACAGATTTAACACCATCCCAATAAAAGTCTCAATGACTTTCTTCAAAGAAATAGGAAAATATTGATGATATTCCTATGGAACAACAAAAAACCTTTAATAGTCAAAACGCTCATGACTAAGAAGAGAATGGAGGCATTTCAATCCCAAACGTCAAGCTATACTACAAAGCCATAATAATAAAAACTGCGTGGTACTGGAACAAGAACACATACAGACCAGTGGATTCAGTCAGAAAACCCAGATATAAACACACAGGTTTATGGACAGCTAATCTTTGACAGAGGAGCAAAGAAGATACAATGGAACAAAGAAAGTTTGTCCAGCAAGTGGTGCAAAAAAAATGAAACTAGATCACTACCTCACACTATACACAAAAATCAACTCGAAGTGGATTACAGACCTAGACATAAGAACAGAAACCATAAAATACCTGGAAGCAGGGCCCTCCCTGCGCAGCGGGTTAAAGCACAGCACTAAGAAGCGAAACCACTTCCCCATGAGTTCGATTCCCGCCTGCCCTGGAGGTGACCACATGGCATGGCAGACCTCTCCTGACCCGCCCACTGCTCCCCTCAGCAATGTACTTCGTTAGTCTGCCTGTTCTGCTCCCCTCTTACCACCCTGCACCTCTGGCCTGTACCCCAGTTCTGTATGTATAAATAAATAAATCTTTAAAAAAAAAATACCTGGAAGCAAAGATGGGCCAAACACTACATGACATACACTACCGTGACATCTTTGAAGATACAGCTCCCAATGCAACAATAGTGAAGGCAAGGATAAATAGATGGGACTACATCAAGTTAAAGAGCTTCTGTACAGCAAAGGAGACATTACAAAAGACAGACATCCAACTGATTGGGAGAAAATTTTCTCACACAAAACTAGTGATAAAGGGTTGAACACAAAGATATACGGAGAACTGATGAAATTCAACAAAAATAAAGTAAACAACCCCATCAAAAAATTGGCAGAAGAGCTAAAAAGACACTTCTCCAAAGAGGAAATGCAGATGGCCAACAGGCATATGAAAAAATGTTCAACATCACTTGTAATAAGGGAGATGTGAGATACCACCTCACCCCAGTGAGAATGGACAATTTTCAAACAACTAGCAACAACAAATGTTAGCAAGGAAAAGGAACTCTCCTGCACTGCTGGTGGAAATGCAAACTAGTACAACCACTATGGAAAACTGTGGGGAGGTTTTCTCAAACTGCTAAACATGGAGCTTCCATATGACCCAGCAATCCCACTCCTGGATCTACCCAAAAGACACAAAAACACTGATTCAAAAAGATACCTGCACCCTCATGTTTATTGTAGCTTTATTTACAATTGGAAAGACATGGAAACAGCCCAAATTCCCAAAAGTGGATGACTGGATTAAAAAGATGTGGTACAAAAAAAGGGAAACACATGTCTTTTGCAGCAACTTGGATGGAGCTAGAAAAGATCATACTTAGCGAGATAAGCCAGAAAGAGAAAGAAAAATACCGGATGGTTTCACTCATAGCAGGAGTATGATGGACCAGGCAAGAAAATAACAAGAATAATGAACAGCCATATACCAGAGACATTTTGTGGGGGTGGAGTGGGGAATGGGACCAAAAACGAGGGGGTGGGGAGAGAAGTGCACGGGATTATGGTGATGGCGCACGGGTGACTTGGTGATGGGAAACCCGCGGGGATTACAATTGAGATGGAAAAAAAATGTACAAAATGATGTAAAAATAAACAGTTATTAAAAAAAAAAAGCTGTGGTACATATACACAATGGAAAATTACTTAGCAGCCAAAAATAAATAAATAAACACGTCTTTTGCAGCAACATGGATGGAGCTGGAAAAGATCATGCTTAGTGAAATAAGCCAGAAAGAAAAGGAAAAATACCAGATGGTTTCATTTATAACAGGAGTATAACAGACCAGGCGAGAAAATAATAATAATAATGAACAGCTATATACCAGAGACATTTTATGGGGGTGGAGTGGGGAATGGGTTCAAAAACTGGAGGGAGGGAAATGCACTGGACTATGGTGATGGCACATGGGTGATTTGGAGATGGGAAGCCCAATGGGATTACAACTGAAATGGGAAAATGCATAAAATGATGTAAAAATAAGCTATTATATTATTCATAAAAATTAATAGTACTAGTAAAAATAAGCTATTATATTATTCATAAAAATTAAGAAATGCCACTCTATATCACAACATTCACTTCAACATTTTACTAGTATATATACATTGATATAGTGTATATCAAAATGTTTGGAAGTGATCCTATTTCATGTTCATCATACTCTACAGAATACACAATTTTAAACTTTCAAAGCACGGTGTGGGAATTTCCAGTAAAATATATATATTTTAGAATCCACCAGGAAACTTACCATATTAGAAATTTAGGTTATAAAATTTAACCTGGTAAGTGTTGATAATCTCAAAATATACATCCTGTTTGACTAAATTTATTATCCATTCTGTAAGCACACTCAGAATTTTCCATATGCAAAACACTCCCATGGGATCACCTAATCGTTAGCAACAGTGTGCCTAATCATACACTTTCATAAGGCTTTTTACTTACTATTTAAGATGGGAGAGGGATAAAAGATAATTAGATGGTTAAAAGTCTATTGTAATTTGAAGATTATAGCCTGCCATGTTGGGTTTGGAGTGCAAATTACTTGTATAGTTTGTGTAGCTGGAAAAAAGGAGTGCTTAAAGAAAACATTTATGTTCATTCCAATGAAAGTTTATCAAATGTCAACAATGCATACTACAATAGTTAAATTTTTGGCTTTAGTCTCCAATAGTAAAATTTTAGAGTTCTATATGCATAAATAAATCTTTAAAAATAAAATAAAATTTTGAAATGCCTCTGGACCCAAGAAATTTCTAGTTGTTTTTGAAAGCAGAATTATGTATAAAAATGTGTGTATATGTGTGTTTGTATACATACTGAGTAAAAAACATTTACTGTTATTTTGGGCAAAATGGTTTCAGGTCAAATATTAGCGTTCCTAAAAAAATACATACTTTAGTAATGTTTATTTTCTCTTATGCCAACTATGATATATTAAGAGGCAACAGGCAGTATTGTCTGTGCTTTCTCTACCCTAAATATCTTCAAACACAGCTAATACTTATCATACTGATTTTCATACAAGAAACAGAAAATGTTTCTATTCTACTTGTTGAAATGATGTTTGTCAAAATCTCTAACATCTCAGTTTTTTTTCTGAGTCTTCAGCATTCTGTACTGTTTCCTTTCCACCTCCTCTCCTAAAGACAATGGGTAAAATACTTAACTAGGAGATTAAGAGGCATGCCTCCATGCAGTTTTACAGATTATCACTGGAACATTAAAATTAGACCTTCTTACAAAACATGGATGGCCTTTTTGTCACCCTCTATATTTCTATGCTTTATTTAAGGTGAAGCTGAGAACATACTGGAAACAGAAAAGAGAAAGTTACAGCTACCAGGAGGAATGATCACTTTCGAAAGCCTTGAAAAAACCAGAAGGCAACAGAATAAATTCTTCATAGACAAGTGAAATCATGTTTATCCAGTAAATCTCAAAACACAGAATTGTTGACTTTAATCATGGCTTTTACAATTTTTTAATTGTTCAAGATTTTTATATAATGAATTTTAAGATATTAAAATGAGTTTCATTAAATTATTCCAAAGTTAAATTTATAACATTTAATACAAAATCATGGAGATATTGTTAATAATTTTCAGGTTTCCTGCTTATGTGTGCATTATGAATATTTAAGAATAAAATCAATAAACTATTATTTTGAATTTATGGAAACAAATACCCTGATACTTTTATTTCCCTGCCACACTATCCTATTGAGATAAGAGTGTAGGTTATGGGGAGTGGGGATGAGAAATGTCTTGGGGAAACTCTTATATAATTTCCCAAGTGTTTTCTTAAAATGTGTAGATGTAGTCACTTACTAGCCAGGCCACCCAGTGTTAAGAAGACTACCTAAAGCAGCAACAATTCACTGAATGTTGCTCTATCAAATATATGATGACACTGTCATCCATAAAGCATATAAACTCCCATGATTGTTTATTCAGTTGACCCCAAGGAACTGTCAGAGGCCTGGAAGATGTTTGATCTATTCCGGAGTCATGGAACCTGGCAAGACAAGGACAAAAAAGAACAATTTTCCTTCAGGTGCAGGTTTGCCTCCATCCTGTAACAAATAGGCCTTTATAGTCATTTGACCTTGTGAGGTGCTATATACTGACCCAATGAGCAGCTCGGTTTGGAAAGTTACCGACTTAGAGTACATGAGAGACTGTTTCTAGATACAAAAAGAGGTTTTACTAAAGAGCCTTTACTAAAAAAGAGCCTTTACTAAAGCCTTTACTAAAGCATCTCAGAGGGCACCAACTGGAGTACACTCTGATTTCAAATTCACCAGATGTATACATGGCAAATTTGGTATTTTTATACTATGTTATTGTAGTTGTTTAGGAACGTGAATACCTTTCAGTTTGCCTATGAAGTAAAAGGGACAGATTTAAAATAAGTCATAACTTCCCCAAAGGCTGCTACTATAATAGAAGTTGTTTAATAATGGAAGAAAAAAATTAACTGGATAAGAAAATTCATTTGAGTTCAGACAAGTGTTTTTGATGAGCAATATGACTTCAGAGAAGTCAAGGAAAGTCAAATTGCTATGGTGAAAGCAGGAAGGTGACTGAAGAAAAACAACAGTCTGAGGGTATAAGCAGAATCTTAGTAGTGCTGAGTACTTTCCGCTGTCCTTTACATGATTTTTCTTAACATGAATACTTTCTTTCTCAGGCCCTCTCTTTAAACTTGAAAATCATGCCATCCTCCATCCACCAAGATGCAGACACTTTATATAGGATATTGAATAACTATTGATGTTATTCAATAGTTTACCAGAGGAGCTGGAATGAACTTAGTCTCAGATTCAACCATCATTGTGGGAGCTACACAAACTGCATTCAAAGGAGGCAAATCTTAATTCTGAAGAATTTAAATCTTCCTACCAGACCAAATGCAGTAGAGGGCAATAAAAACAGTAGTCCTTCAGAATTAAATAACTTGGTGTTCTATCAACATTCCTGGGAAAGGAGGCAATTCTGTGGTGTGATCTGTTCCAAGTGTTGTATTCAAGGTTCACGGATGATTAGCATGTGAGAAATCATTGGCATTTGGGTTTTTCACTGGTGAAAAAAAATATTTTGGGACCCTCCCTGGTGACATAGCAGGTTAAACCACAGCACTAAGAAGCCACTTCAGCATGAGCTTGATCCCCACCCCAGAGGTAATCTACATGGCATGGCAGACCTCTCCTGACCTGCCCGCTGCTCCCCTCAGCAGTGTTCTGCTCCCCACTCTTTCTCTGGTGAATCCTCTCACCACACCTGTGCTTCTGGCCTATACCCCAGTTCTGTATGCATAAATAAATAAACCTTTAAAAATATAGCTATATTTTCTGCTAATTAAACTTTCATACTGAGAAAGAATAAGTCTACATTGGAGTATTTCTGAGTATGTCTCCCACTCTTTTGCTTTTAGATAATCTAATACTCAAACATCATTTCATGACTTAGTATTAGGCAAATTATTTTTGGAGCAAATAAAATAGAGTAACATACATGCTGTCTAAAATTGGCTACAAAAATTGGGCCAAAATATTTTTGTTGATGCTATTGTCAGAGCAGATATAGAAAGAATTGTAAAATGGACTTTAATTGATCTTAAAAGATCTTTTTTTCTTATTGAAATGTTATTAATTACAAGCAATCAAATAGAACTCTAAATCTATTTAATTTCATTGGAGCAATGTAAACTCAAGTATATTTCAAACTGGAAATCTTCATTTAGTTCTACTATCTTTGATGTGCTAAAGATAATGAAGTGTTCAAGAGACAAATGAATAGCCACATAGAAAGATTAGATAATTCAGTGCCATTTTACTCAAGAACTCATGTAGTAAGGGGACACACTTCATTTGTACTGTTTTAGATTTGCAAACTATCTATACACAATGGATGTGAAAAGATATGAAAGCTTGTTAGCACAGGAAACTACTATGGTTTTCATTTCAGTATTTAATCAGTTCCTTTGACTTACAACACATATAGTTTTAGGCAGCATTTCTTTAAAAATGCACTTAAATAGTACATTAATCTCAGGGGCATGTGGATCACCTCTGGGGTAGGAGATGTAACTCACGCTGAAGTCAATTTGCACTGGAGCCACCACAGCCAGATTGCAGTGCTGTGCTCCAACCCGCTGTGCCACCAGGGAAGGCCCAGTTTACATGTCAAGATACTTAATTCTCATGGCTAGTAAAAACTCCCTAACTCTTATGAGAAACTGATAATTCTATGCTTAACTGACTTCTCAAATAAAACATTTACACTCTGATACTGTTCACAAGTTTGGACTGTGTTCTCTTTGAATACCATAAGCCCCACAATAGTGGCTTCAGTGAAACCCTACTTATCATCTTAACGATGGCTACACCTCTGCCCACTTACAATCAGCTGTGTTTAGCATATAGGCTTCCTCCTGTGCTCCTTCCATATATTCCCAGGGTACATTTAGGCAGAAAAAAGAACAGAAGAAGGCTTAGAGCCAGGATAAGAAAAGCATAGGTCTTGCAGAAATCTCCTCAAGTATGCTTATGTCACACTGGCCAGAACTATGAAACATAGACATTGCTACTTGCAGAAGACAGGGAAATGTTTCTAGTGCTTACAGCCTAGAGAATGCTGTCAAGGGGAAAGGTCTAGAAAGGAGCTTTAGACAGTCAACATACAGGTTCACTCAAGCTTCCTGCAATAAACCTCTTGATACTTTTAAACATATTAATGTTTATCTAATAAATGTTGCCATGCAGATTAATTGCAAAGGCGCTGGTTCCAAGGGATAAGGTGGGACAGAAGAGGCTTTGGAAATAATATGTGAAGGTAGAAATGCCAACTCAAGAACTTGACAATGTCTGCATATGGCACATTTGGTTTTTCTTTTTAAAAAAGATTCCTTGTTGTATTATTGTTGTTCAGGAACATGAATGCCTTTTGACTTGCCAATAAACTAAAGGGAAAGACTCTTACTCCCTTAACATTGGTAAGCCACATCTGCAAATGTACTTTCTAAAATTTACTAGACAAGTTAATTGACCTCTTAATTTGCTTTATTTCTCTGTAAAGCACAAGAACACCCACTTCACTAGCTAGACATACAGCTTCTGTAAGATCGCCTAGTCATAAGAGAAAAGCTAACCTCTTGTTGGAAATTTACATGTTAAACAAGCAATTGCTTTGAAGAACAATCTTGTCTCTTTGCAGTGACAGTAAATCCATAAAAATACCTTCAAACCTCAGTTTTATGAAACATCTCCCAAACAGGTTATCCTAGAAAAAAAAAAACAACACATTGAAAAGCATTCCCTCTGATCCTTCCATCGTTGATAAAGGAGTTATTTTTGTTTTAAGGGATTTCTTCACACTATCATTTGACAAAAATGAGTAGACCCTCTTAAAATCAGCACAGTCTAGAAATCAGAATTATTCTCAAAGCTGTATTTGAACTGAGTGATTTTTTAATTACTTCTTAATTCTAATTCTAATTTCCTCTAATTCACTTCATGGAACTCAGGTAATCTGAGCAAGCTATGAACACAGGCAAATCAATTACTTAAAGATAAACTTATTTGAATTTAAAACTTTACTGTCTATCTAGAAAGGATACTTATCGAGCATATGATAATCCACAGACTGTGTTGTAATTTTTAAATGCTAAAGTAAAGGTTGTAAAAATGAGAACCAAATGCACAAACAGAAGATAGTAAAGAAAGAAAAAAACATTATTTTTTAGCTGTATTTGTGTTAAGAAAATATCCCTTCTGCAGCTGTGGGATTCTACTACTTTCTCCTTTAACTTTTTGGTTTGTTTTTCTGTATATGTGTATATTTGTGTGTGTGTGTGTGTGCATGTGTATGTGTGTAGTTGAACCTGGACATAAGAATACAATCTCAAATTATTTATTGAAGTAACTGCTTTCAATCAAGCTATCTCCTGGAAGACGCAAAGGAAAGTCAGAGAAAGTGACCTACTAGCTTCAGGTATAATGGATATGTCCAAATTAATGCAGTAAAATTTTTAATGTTTATATACAGGATATAGATAAAAATGTGATCTGTACACCTCATCTGTCAATGAAATAGCTACTACTTTTATCAATTAACATTACGGACACTAAGCTAATTAATTAAAATATAATAATATTTAGATTAGAAGTTTATTCAGCAAATATTTATGTTGCAAAACTCTGGGTTGTAAGAACAAAGGTCACTGCAATTTTATTTTGAATGTTATAATTTAATGTAATGGATATGCATAACTTTACAAAAAAGATTTAACTTTGCTAACTTGTAAGTATACAAAATGGTTTGAGTATTTGACGAGTAATTTGCAAATGTAAAAAGATGAATAACGGTGGACAGGCAAGTAGGTGAAAAGGATGGCACTTACTGGCACTGAATGAGGGTGGGTGACTTAGGGTGGTATGGGGATAGAGACGGTGACTCCAAGAGGGTATGGAAGGGGTGGAGCTTGGACCATTGAATGAAATTCTAAGTGGGAGCCCAAGAACTATAAAAGCTTGTAGAGGCAGGCAGGGAAAGCAGCCTGAAATCCAGGACTGGTACACAGGCTGAGGACCCTAGGTCACATAGCTCTAATCTCCAGAGAAAAGCTGAAACTCCTGGACAAGAGACACCTGGTCCAAGATGCAGCCTCAGTTCTTATACCACCTGCTAGGGATCTGGCTGCTACTGATCCAGCTTCCAAGAGGGATTCCAGCTTATAGGGACGAAACTGTTCGGGTATGTGGACGCGAACTTATGCGCATTGTGTTAGATATCTGTGGCAGACCGAAGGGGCAGACTGAGCTTGGACGAAGGCTTGGAATCCCATTTGGACACTTGCCAGGTGAGATCTCTAGTTTTCATTACTCTTCACTTCCACTGGTTGTGGTCTGACCACACCCAATCAGAATTGTGACACCTGGCCTGGCTCCAGTTTCCTGGCTGACTATATTCAACAAGAACTACTGTGACATAAAAATATGGCCTTTCCCCTCAAAATTTGCTTTCAAGAAAGGGTCTCACTGAAGGAAGGCAAATGTGAAGGGACAGCAAAGGGTCTCACCTGAATTGTACTTGGAGTTCTTCATCTACTGAGTGTCGTGGAGAGAGAACTAGAGAAAGTATGTGTGGGGTGAGGTGGGAGAGAGGGGTGCCAACAGAGGAAAGAAGGGTGTAAAAGACCAGAAGGAGGTTGGGTACTCTCTGGGTAACTCAGGGTCTGTGGGCCAGACAGCACTGGTGTAATGGTTGCTGGAACACCTGGATAGTGCATCTATACTTTAGACCGTAAGGAGCAAGCAGTGAGGAGTCTTTATCAAGCATGTTTGCACGGATGAAATGTGTACTATGTAAATATCATGCACTGATGATATTTCCCATGAAGAAAATATCAAAGACCTCTGCTATGCTCAAAAGTAGTAAACTAGAAGGTCTTAGATTTGAAGACTCACTAGGGGAGACAAAAAATGGATGAAGAAATCTGGCTCTCTTGCGGTCCAAGGAAATCTTCCCATTTTACAGTAATTTTAACTTATTTGTCTATGTCCCAAAAGGAAAAGGAGAGCTTCCACCTTTTTGAACTAGATATTGAAGTTAGTTTGTGATAGAAGGGGTTGAGAAAAAAGAAAAAGAAAAGGGCCTGATCACATACCAGGGACACTAAAAGGGACTAAGAGTCAAAATAAGTTTGCACTTTAGAAAAATACCACTGAAAACCTGACTGATGCTTAAAGCCTGTTGAGTTTCAATGGTTTCTTTAAAAGTCAAATTTCAGAATAATATATACCTCAACTCTGGAGTAGCTTCTAAAAAAGGCTAGTGATTAAGCAGTTATTAAAAAACTAAGTAGCAATGAAACTTCTACACAGGCTAATGTAAAATGTAGTGGATAGATTTAATTTTTGATCAGTGAAACACAACTGTGAAAAATAACTGTTTTATATTTAGTAACATTCATGTCTGGAGGCTTTTTTGATGCTAAAAATAAAACTTAAACTGTATAACTAATATAAGTGGAGTTAGGACAGTTTACATGACTTAATTTTCTTGAGGTTAAGAAACATACATCAATTTATTTGTATCAATTTATTTGTATCAATTTATTTGTATTTATTTGACACGGAAATTGTCAATGATGTATCACTGAGCTGAAGGACTTAGCAAAATGTCAACTGATTCCTGCAGGTTCCCAGCACAAGACACACCTGCATATTTGCCCACCTGGCATGCTGTTTAGATTTCCTTCCTAGGGAGCACCAGAACTTGCATAACGCTTGGCTCACAACTGGGAAACTAAAACCATACAAAGTACAAAGTCAGTTCACATGCACCACAACTGATACTGTCTTCTTAAGTCAGTGACATTTTGGTTCCTGTTCTATTAATCCATTTATTTAATATTATTAATGGAGTTAATACTCTAAGGAAAGTAGAGAAATGATGTGTGAGGAATGTTGTCTTTGCTATTTCCTATCTATTAGATTAGATTAGTCAGAAACTCTACATTTTAAACTTTATTCCGAAGCAGTAATTTGCCACTATAGAACTTTGCAGAATTCAAAGTAGGACAGTCATCAGACAAATGTTTTCAATGAGCAAAATGACTTCAGGGAAAGTCAAAGTACTTTGATGAAGGCTGGAAGATAAGTAAAATCAATAGAGTTGAGGGTGTAAGCAGAACCTTAGTAGTGCTGAGTGCTCTCAGTTACTATCTAGAGGATACTGATAGTTTAGATATCAGAATCCTTGCCTACTCTGATTGAGGCACTGCTTTTCCTTTTAGCTACTCAGATGTTATTGTTTACCCTATGTTCCTTGACTTGGATATACTTTTTTCTTTTGTCCCTTTCTTTAAACCTGAAAATCATGCCATTCTCCATCCACCCAGATGCACAAACTGTAAACAGGATGTTGGTATCCAAAGCTAGTTTGCAAGAGGAACTGATTTCAACCAAGTCTGAGAGTCAGCCATCACTTAGGAAGCTACAACCTGCACTACAGGAGGCCAATCTTAATTCTGAAGAATTTAAGAGAAATCATCCTACCAGACCAAATGTGGCAGAGGACAATGAAAATGATAGTCTCTCAGAATTAAACAACTGGGTCTTTGATAAACATTCCCGCAAAAAGAGGGACGTCCATATTGGACTGAGTTCAAAGTGTTGTAAACAAGGCTGTTCCAGACAAGAGATTGCAAGATTCTGCTGAGATGAAGCTAATTGTGCATTTCTCATCTAATGTTCCCATGTATTCTCAATGACATGTTCATGATAATCTGTCACCCCACTGATTAGGATATGAAAAATCATATTGGCATTTGGGCTTTACACTTGTGCAAGAAAATATTGCTGGTGTTACTGTACTTTCTGCTAAAAATACTTTCATACTGAAGGGACTTTATCTTTTTCATTAAAGTTATAATTATGTTATTGTTATCGGTGTTGTTAACTTAGTCACAAAATATCATTTTAATCATATACAACTCAGAAAAATATGTAAAAACAGATATGCATAGCAAAATGTTATTCTTGTGTGAGAAAGAATAATTCTATTAATAAAATTTGCATTTGAAAAATTATATGTCCCCCACTCTTTTTCCTCCAGTCCAAATTCCCAAAATCTTTCATGGCTCAGTGTTAAGAAAACTATTTTAGTAACAAATGAAATAAATAAAAATAACATACATAGTGTCTAAACCAAGTGCATAAATTGGACCAAAATATTTTGTTGTTATTAACTGAATATGATACTGTGAAGTTAATGAAGTGTTCAAGAGACAAATGAATAGCCACATAGAAAGATTAGATAGATTCAGATAAAGATTCAGTGCCATTTTACTCAAGAACTCATGGAGTAAGGGAACACACTTCATTTGCACTGTTTTAGATTTGCAAACTATCTATACACAATGGATATGAAAAGATATGAAAGCTTGTTAGAACAGGAAACTAAGATGGTTTTCATTTCAGTATTTAATCAGTTCCTTTGACTTATAACACATATAGTTTTAAGCAGCATTTCTTTAAAAATGCACTTAAATAGTACATTAATCTCCACCAAATGCCTGGAAACAAAATTTAAGGGACTAAGTAACTAACTCCCTTATTTTAAACTTCCAAATGTGGTTAATCAATACTACACCACTAAGCTTTATTTACTCCTTACCAAATGCAACCTTCATCAATGGCTACAAAACCTCAGAGGTCATAAGAGACCTTGGTCAAAGCCAGGAAGAGAGCTATCTGATATGGAAATTCTAAATTAGGAGAGCTGATGGGATTCAGATGTTGGGGTTCAGTGAGTGAATGGGGTCCTTGGGCTCCCTCTGAGGATGGTTTCAAAGAATTTTCCATGAAGAGGCACACCGCAAGGGGCTAAGGAAAAACATGTTATGCACAGACACAAGCAGGCAAAGGTTTCATTTTAAAAGGGTAAGTTTATTAGGAAAAGGCTAAAGAAAAGAGGATACTGGACAAACATGGACAGTCAGTCTTGGAAAAAGTGCATTTTTCCAGGGCAGGAATTCTTCAGTAGTGTTCTTTGAGGCTAGGGGTAGGGGTATGGGGTGGGGAAGGGAAAATCTACCTACTGTGAAATCTGTCATGTCCAAGATCTTGCTGGGATAATCTGTAAGGACTGGTGGTTTTTTGCAATGGTGGGCAAAGTTTCCATATTCTTTGATGTAGGCCTACAGATTTTTCCTATAAATCTGCTCCTTAGAATTTTTCCATAGTCAGCTTAACAACTTGTGTTAATAGAAGTGCACCTGCTATCATTTGACAATGATGAGTAGACCCACTTGAAATCAGCAGCAATGCAGAAATGAGAATTATTTCAAAGCTGTATCTGAACTGAGTGCTTGATGAATTCTTAATTCTAAGTTATGCTAACTTCCTCCAATTCACCTCATGTAGTTTAGTAAGCTGAGTATGTATGAACACAGGCACATCAATTATTGAATAATGAACCTAATTAAATTTAAAAGTTTACCGTCTGACTATAATGGTTGTTTAATGATCATATTGTCATCTCACACTGTGTTGCATTTTTTAAATTCTAATGTAGAAGGCAGTAAAAATGATGGTTTACCAAATGCAAACATAGAACACAGTAAAGGAAGAAATACATGATTTTTGTTTTGTTTTCATGTTAATAAAATATTCCTTTTGAAATTGTGGGATTCCACTGGTTACATCTTTTATTTTATGGTTTATTTTTTTGTATGTATGTTTGTATATTAGTTAGTGCATGTGAGTATGTGTCTGTACTTCAGTTGAACTCTAGAGATATATAATACAATCTCAAATTATATGTAGTCAAGTAATTCATTGCAATAAATCTATCTTCTGGAATACTAAAGGGAAAATCAATGGAGACAGTGAACTGTAAACCTCATACACATTGGACATGTCTCTATTGATACATTAAGAAGTTTAAATTTTAGTCCCTCTCTGGTGGCACAATGAGTTAGGATGCAGCACTGTAAGCTGTAAGCTAGCTATAGCAGCTTCGGTGCAAGTTCAATCCTTGGCCCAGGAGGTGATCCACATGGCACAGCTGACCTCTCCTCAGCAGTGTTATTTTGTGGATCTGCCTGATCTGCTCCCCACTCTGTCTCTGGTGAATCCTCTCACTGCCCCTGCACCTCTGGCCTATACCCTAGTCCTATATGCATAAATAAATAAATCTTTTAAAAAAAGAATTTTAAATTTTATATCAGAATGTACATAATATGTCATCAGTACTCCCACTCTATCAACAATATATCCATTAACTCCTATGAATTCGTGTAATAGACAATATGCTAATTAATGAAATATATTTGTATTTAGAAGTTATTCAGCAAATTTCTATGTTGCAAAACTCTGGGCTGTGAGACCAAGGGTGATTGCAACTTTATTTTGATTGCTATAATTTAGTGTAATGAACATAACTACCTTTACAAGAAAGAAAAGACTTCAACTCTTTCAAACTTTTGTAATCATACAGAGTGGTTTGTATAATTATAGATAGATAAAGTAATTTGCAAATGTAAAACGACAAGGAACTGAAAGACAGGCTGGTGTAGGAAAGGTGGAAAGGGTAAACTTCGGTAATGGAAATGGGAGGTGGCTTACAGTGGTAGCAAGACCAGAGGTGGTGGTTCCAAGAGGGCGTGGAAGGGGTGGGATGAAATTCTAAGTAGGAGCCCAATGGCTATAAAAGCTGGTAGAGACAGAGACAGCAGCCTGAAGTCCAGGAACAGCACATAGGCTGAGGACCCTAGGTCATATCAGCTCTTATCTCCAGAGAAAAGCTGAAACGTCTGGACAAGACACCTGGTCCAAGATGCAGCCTCAGTCCCTGTACCACCTACTAGGAATCTGGCTGCTACTGATTCAGCTTCCCAGAGGGATTCCAGGTCATAAGGACGAAACTGTTAAGATATGTGGTCGCAAGTCTGTCCATCTGGCAATGGACATTTATGACAAAGTCAACTGGAAGGGGACTGAGAGAGAACTAACATATGGAAGCCCATCTGGAACCATGGCAGGTGAGAACTCTAGTTTCCATTATTCTTCACTTCCACTAGTTGTGGTCTGACTACACACCAATCAGAACTGGGACTTCCAGGTCTGACTCCAGAACCCCCTGCCTGATTATACTTAACAAAAGCTGCTGTGATGTTTTCCATCATAATAAGCTTTCTAGTTAAGGGTCTCACCAGAGGTGTCACACAAAGAGGAGAAAGCTGACTGAACACCAAATAACTACACTTGAAATTTATATTGTGCTCTTCAATACCTGCAGCCAGAAAGACAGAACTAGGGAAAATGTATGAAGGGGATGTTAGTAGTGTTGGGGGTCGGGGTCTGGGCATGCTTGGTGGAGATAAACAGGGGCAAGAAGGCTGCCAAAAATCAGGTAGAGGTAGGGTACTCTCTGAGTGCCTCAAGTTCTGTGCACCAGGCAGCAGGGATTCTGGAAGCTGGGACAACTAGGCAGGGCATGTCTACTTGAGGCAGCAGTGAGGAATGAGTCTCAAGTATGAATGCACAGATGAGCATGAGGCAGAATTCAGAAACCTCTTCTATGTTACTGTGTGGTAAGCTAGAAGGGCCTTAGATTTAAAGAATTGTTGGAAGAAGAAGGAAGAAGGAAAGAGAAGCCAAGGTCTTCCCCTTTACCTTAATTTTAATTTACTTGTGTTGTTCCCCAAATGGGAAAGCCTAGCTCCCACTCTTTGAATTGGGTCTTGGAGTTCCTCTGTGTGAGAAAGGCTTGAGGAAAAAGACAGGGCCTGGTCACATACCAGAGAACTAAAAGGGACCAAGAGTCAAGGTAAATTTGCCTTTTAGAAAAATTCCATTGAAAACATGACTAACACTTAAAACCTTTGGAAATCTGCAATGTATTTTCTCAAAAAGTCAGATTTTAGAGTGATGTGCACCTCAAATCTGGAAAGCATTTTTTAAATTTTTATAAAGCTTTTATAAAGAGGATGGCAAACTTGGATGGATATTGAGGCAATGCTTTCCTTTTGGCTATAAAGAATGTAATTTTTTTCTGACGTTCTTTGACATATTCTTTCTTCTTCTGCCCCTTTCTTTAAACATGAAAATCCATCCTCCATCCACCAAGATGCAGAAACTGTGAATAAGATGTCGGCATCCGATAATGGTTTGCAAGACGAGCTGGATTCAACCCTGTATGAGAGTTACCCATCACTGAGGGAGCTACAACAACCTACATTAAAGAATTTAAATCTTAATTCTGAAGAGAAACCATCTCTTAAGAGTAATAATCCTATCAAACCAAATATGACAGAATACAATAAAAATGACAGTGTCTCAGAATTAAAAAACTTAGTCTTAGCTAAAGATTCCCCCCAAAATGAGGCAATTCCATAGTGGAATTGGTTCAAAGTGTTGTAATGTAGTTTGTACTAGACAAGAGCTTGCTAGATTCTGCTGAGATGAAGCTAATTGTGCATTACTCATCTGTTCACATGTATTCTCATGTATCTGTAACCCACTGATTGAAAAATCATATTGGTATTTGGGCTTTTCACTTGTGCAAAAAAATATTCTTGGCATTATTGCATTTTCTGTTAAAAATACTATTCAATACTGAAGGGATTTCTATCTTTTTCATTAAAGTTATAATTATGTTATTACTTCTATCTTTTTCAGTAAAGTCATAATTGTGTTATTATTATCAGTGCTGTT